AGACTGAAGAGGCTTGCCTTCTCTGCTGCGGTCGGAGCGGAGAAGCCTCTGGACTTGGCTTCTCCGCTGTGGCCGGAGCGAAGGCCTGGGCCCCGGGTGCTGGAGGAAAACTGGTGCCAGCAGCCAGGGGAAGGAAGGCCTATTGCACAAATCTCTTTGTGCAACAGGCCTCTAGTATTGATATAACAAAAATTCAAATTAAAATTTTGGATTGTAGACCCTATCATTGTACCTACAGGATTGTAGTGAGGCTCTGCCATACCTCAAATAGGGCAGATAAAGAAACATTTGATTGATTTGTTTTAAAATACGGTACTATTTTTTATATACTGTTTCAAGTATTTGAAGTTAAATACACATTTTTTTATACACTCCAATATAATAGGATAAATCAGTGGTCTATGAAACACTTTAAAGATCTGAATTCTGTACTCAAAATGAAGGGTTATATTATTTTAGGAGTAATCTTATATAATAAAAGCCTAATATGCTAAGTGTCCAGTTGTCTGTTCAGCCAATCAAAGTGTAATATGCTAATGATATGCTAAGGCTGCTCAACCGCTCGCTATGATGTCCACTGACCACCAGGGGGCAGACAGTCGACCGGTTGACCAGTCACTATGATGTGCACTGACCATCAAGGGGCAGACACTCTGACCTATAGGTTAGCATGCTGCTGGGATCTGGCCGATCAGGACTGAGCGAGACTGGCCAGACACACCGTGGAGCCCTCCCATGGTCCCTCCCTGGCTGGCCCACCTCCCACGTTCTTCCCCAGCCCCGAATGTGCACTGGTGGGGTCCCTCAGCCTGGCCTGCGCGCTCTCGCAATTCTGGACCTCTCAGGGGATGTCAGAGCAGATTTTGGTCCGATCCTGCAGGCTAGGCCGAGGGACCCCACTGGTGCACGAATTTGTGCACGGGGCCTCTAGTATCATCATATGATTCATAAGGCCCGGTAGTCATCATGTTATAACTTTTTCGTTTAGCTTCCTAGGCATAATCACATAATTCAGGATTAAAATGTAGCAACCTTTCACTTTACTTTTTTTTAATCCTCACTCGAGGATATGTTTTTTATTGATTTGAGAGAGAAAAACATCAATGTGAGAGAGAAATATCGATTAGTTGCTTCCCATAAGCACCTGACTGGGAATGAAACCTCAATCTAGGTATGTGCCCTGACCAGGATCTGAACCCATAACCTTTTGGTGTACAGGATGACACTCCAACCAAAAGAGCCACCTGGCCAGGGTGCAACCACTCACATTCATCACCAATTTCCTGACCAGGTTTTACCCTGGGGGGAAAAAAAGTGTATTTATAATATCCAATAAATATTTACTGAGCTCCTATTATTTGTGACTCTTCTAGGTTCAGAAGTGTACAAAACAGACAAAATTTAAATGCCCTTATGAAATTTAAATTGGTGGGATGAGAAATAGTAAATAAGCTAAATAAATAAATATATGGTATGCTGGTTGTTGCTGAGTGTTATGAGGAAAAATTAAGGAAAAGCAATAGATAAAGGAGTAGGGTGCCAAGGGGTGGAAAGACTACCACCTGCCTATTATTCTAATCTTCAAAGTCCCTTAGCTAGGAAATCCTTCCCTACCAATCAAATACCAATGGTTGGTTAACAATTTGTTTTGATTGTATTTTTCCCTTTCACTTATTCCAGAAAGTGGTCAGGCCCCTAGTATTCCCATGTCTCCTGGGTGTTTTGTTGTGGGGACCAAAAGCTGAGCTTGTCTGTCTTCTTGACCTGTGTTCCTTGAGGATGGGAAGGGTGGACTGGGAATGAGAGGCCAGCTCCTCTGAGAGGGACAGGCAAGAGCAGCATAGCAGAGAAGAGATTCTGTCAGACTTGGAAGAGGATAAAAGTCTGTCAGTGCCCTGGGTAGTGGCAGGACCTCAGAGAAGGATAGCAGTCTGGTGCACTCAGGGAGATTGAACCCATGCCATCGTGGTTCCCAGCCTCTTTAAAGATTCTTTTGTCCAGGTGTGGCAAAGAAGCTGTTAGACTGCCTGACTTCAAGGGACCTGAACAAAGATGTTATTCATGTAACCACTGTAGGTTGAAAAGTAATGATCTGTCCTCACTCTTCATTCACCACATTTTTTCCCATCAATTTATGTGAACCTGGCGAAAGTAAGGGATGGCTCCAAAATGACTAAGATCAATCATCCTTGTTGGATTAGGGCTTTCTCATTCAACTTAGCAAAAATAAGATACTGTGACATTACGTACACATTCAAGTTTGTGGAGTAAAATTTATCCTGCTACCATGCCGGGCTATTATATCTTGATTAGTTCTCATGTAGAGAAGCAATCTTAAAATACAAAGCAACAGGCCCTGACCAGTGTGGCTGAATTGGATGAGCGTCATCCCGTGCACCAAAAAGTAGGCAGTTCGATTTTTGGTCAGGGCACATGCCTGGATTGTGGAGTGTGCAGAATGCAGCCAATTGGTATTTCTCCCTTCCCTTTCAAATCAATAAAAAACATATTAAAAAGTTATTTAAAAAATAAAAATCAACAGAAGACATGAATTTCTCCAGATTACAGATTTCTCTCCACTGGCTTTACTGGGTGGACAAACACATATGTATTCTTTTCCTTGAACTGGAAACTCCATATTAGTGTATGGTGATAACACAAACCTTATTCAGTAAGTCGAAAGTTACTGAGAAGTGTCATTCAGCTTCTTCCTCAAACCCTAGGAAATGTAAAAGTGATATTAAGGCCTTCTGTCAGCCAATAACACTGGATTGAAACAAGACCAGATAGGACAGTAATTTACAAACTTTTCAATTTTGGACATGGCCAGGAATTTTCTCAGACTAGAGCACTATCTTTCCCTGTCTAACCATTTGTTTAAGTCTCTAACCTCATGCTTACTCCAAATATTTGGATGCTATTCATCTATTAAGAATACATCTGTCAAGTATTATTTACTTTCATAAATAGACACAAATTTTTAGACTATGTATCTTCCTTCTCTTTCCTTGATGATTGCTTATTATTTCCCTCCACCCCAAATTTAATGAAACTGATTGAGAAAACTCAGGTTGCCACAGTAGTATAAAAAGAATGAAGGACTTGATATTCCCTCTTGGGATCATAGAATTTACTGGAATATGAAGGTGCCCAGCCCTTTTATAGTCTCAGCTGAAGTCATTGATCTTAATTCTTGACTTCATAAGCCTTTAGCTCCTTGAAAATCTGCTAGTTACCTTGAAAATGTACTTCTTAAATGTATTTAAAAACTTGTCTGTGTTTTGTTTTGGGGTGGGAGATAAGATAGAAGTTCTAAATTTATTAGATATGTTCAGGTCTAAGTGAAAGGCATAGATCTTTAAAACTACAGAAGCTGAGGACAGCTTGGCCATTGTTGCCCATTGCTTACAGTATCACTGGAAGACTGAAAGAAACTGGAAATAATAGGTGCCTTCTATCCGTTTAGAATGTGCACCTATCACTTCTTCAATTAAAAATCAAACTCGTAGAAACTGCAATCCATAAGCTGAGACTAATTCTGGAATTCTCAATTCTGAGTCAACTTTTTGAGTTTAGATGTTTAATTGTTTCACCACTAGGTGGCACATACTTACTGATAAATTCTTCAAGACCGCCAGACAGATTTTCCAAAAAGCTCTTCAGTTACCCAAACTTACCAAAGTTCGCTGTAACTATATATTGCATTGATTTTTCTCAAGAAATTTCTTTACCTTCAGTTGTTTAGTGCTATATCAGATTTTCGGTGATTTTTCTCTATAACTTCTTACTTAGCATTCTTACAGCATTTGAGTTCCAGAAATGTCTCAAGGCAAATACTAGCTAAGATATCCTTAATTTAGTGTACATTTTTAATGTTTATTGAATTGTATATCTCTACTTTTCATCTTTTATCATGTGAAATAGCTTAATGAATGAAATTTAAAGATTCTGTGTACAAAGTAGAGTTTTATTTGATTTTTTTGCTTCGCTGCTTTTAGACCAAATAAATCAATGTCCAGGACCACATGCAATTTAAGAACCAATTTCTGCATGCTTTTATAATATGCAGAGAGATTAGGCAAATGGGTACTGTGGAGAATACAAAAATGAAATATTATGTATTGCTTCTGTCTTCAAGGATCTTTCATTTTATGGGAGGAGATAGTCATGAATGCAAATTAACTATAATATGAGTCAGACTGTAGTAAATAATTAAATGAAAATATTAAGTGTAATGAGAACTAGATAGTAAATATTAATTTGGAGACTTCAAGAATAAAGTGGAATTTGAGAAGAACCAGAGTAATTCTTATAGTCATTTTTTACCTAAAGATTCTTCAATTGTTTTTCTTTTCTAAATACATTTTTGACAAAACTAAATAAACATTTAGAGAAAAGTTCTGTATTCAAGTAGAACAACATTTATTGAGTGCTTCCTACTCAAGCAAACTGTCATCTATTATTTCATTTAATACTCATGAGACCTTTGATATATGTACAGCTATCCACATTTTATAGATGAAGAATTTGAGGCACAGAAAGTTTAAGGAACTTGTATGAATATGTCAGCTGTCTTCCATAACACCAAAACTAGATGTGAATTGAATTAATTTTCTTACAGTAAGAAACAGCTTTTCAATTTTTGTCACTACAGCATCATTGCTATATTACGTAAGAGGGAATCAACATTATTCTAATAAATGTGTTAACATTGACTACTTTGTTATATTTGTAGCCTTAATTTTTATAACTTTCTACGTATTATGTGAATCATATTCAAATATCTTGAATCAAGAATATGACCCTTTTGGCTATCAACATGCAAAATTTCTACAACTCTGCTATATTCTAAAATAATACAATAATAATCAGATATCAAAATCTAAATAATATATTGTACAATGCTTAAATTAGATTTGGTTCCACTTCAGCTAAATCAAGTGGATATGCAAACACAATTATATATTTATAATGAATCTTATTTTTTTATGTTTCCTTAGCCAGGAAAATGTGAATGTAAAAGTAAAAGGAAGAAGTGGTATATAAGTGCGCTACAAGAAGCATACCATCTTTATGGATATTCTCTTGAGCAACGACTGGAAATGTGCTGCCTATCAAAACAGGGTATATGATGTTTTTATTTTTTGCCACCCCAAATAAAGATTTATTCAGATGCATGCTTTCCAAAATGTGTATGCTCAAGTAAAAATCTTTTTCTTTATATCTTTGTCCACTGAAAAATTACTTTTGTGTAGATTAATAGTATATATTTTACTCTCTGAAACTATTTTCAATGACTATACATACACTCTATTTACTAGTAAATATAGGGGTTTTAAATGGCGCGTCTGTCATCTTTACTCTTAGATTATCTACATAGGTCCTCTTGTATATTTCAAACCATATATTTCAAAATTGGAAACTATGTCTTTAAAATATATTTCTGGGGTGAAACTTTCATTGGATGTGTTGTATTATTTCAGCATAAAGTATTTTTAAATAAATTCAAGACAGATAAAAGGTAATCCTCAATTTTCTTTTTAATTAGGTGAAAAAATAATATTTCAGGTCATTTTCAAAGAAACTTATTTGAATTACAAATATTTATATATAGCTTTTTAAATGGATTCAACATAAGGATTATAGTAGGTATAACATTTTTAAACTCTAAAAAATTATGATTATCACATAAAATGTTGATTTTCAATAATCTTAAGTGTTTTGAAATGTTTCTACTTAGTAATCATAATAATTTTCTGTCTTATGAAGGCCCCGTTTCACTTTATCACAGTAATTTTTTCTCCTTTGGAAAAGTTTAATATATAGATTTTGAAATTTGTGAAAACATTTTATTTGAGAAAATGTTTAAATATTAATCCATCCCCCTAACTTTAGATTTTTTTTCTAACTTTAGATTTTAAAGCAAATATGTAGGTTAGAAACGAGTAGAAAAAGAATAACAAGACACTACTCTGACTTACTCTAAGACCAGGAAAAGAGACATTTATAATCATAAATGTGATTTTATTCCTTGTGTTGTAAATATAATGTCTCCATTATTAGCAATAAAAGTTGAATTCACTCTGTTGTTACAAATACAATTATATGCTTTGCATGGACTATAGATTTCTATTATGTAACCAAAATAATATTTGAATAATTTAGTTTTTTAAAACATTAATGCCTGAGGTAATATAGTCATTTATTTTAAAAAATTATACTACAGCCATTTCACATGAGCAGTAGACCCACTCTTCCAATAAGTTATGGAACTGTCTTTGCTGTTGTACATGGCGGGTTACTTATCTCTGGGTCCTTGAGCATGGGTCCTCTCTGGGCTTGTCCAGAGAGACAGGTTATTTTCTCTCAGGTCTGCAGCAGCAGACCATTTTCTGCTGGAAGTCTGATGATTTTTGCATGTAGAATCCGATGTAATTCAGCCTGATTATTGAGAGCCTTATGTCTAAAGCCTTTCATTTTCTCTGAAGTAGCAAAAATGGAGGGGCGGGGACAGACTACTATGAGTACCGTCTTTGCCATAACTGTCTCACTCCCTTTCTTTCACCCTTCACTATCTCCATAATAGACAATTTAGTCCTATGTCTGCTCTGCTTTCAGGGTGAATTCTAGTATGCATTTAGCTTTTTATTCTGTTTAAAAGTAGTGTGAGAGATAATTAGCTACTATTTAGATACTTTACAAAAGGTGAGTAACTCACTTGCAAACCATTTATTTAATTCCAGCAACTTTGAGGATATCTTCACTCCAAAATTTCTTCTTCCAATCCAGAAATAATTACTACTAAATTTTGGGCCTCAATTCTTCCTGCCCTGCAGAAATTGGCTCACAATTATGTGTGATGCCGCTCTTTCTTTGTTGACATCTAGAGTCAGTAAATGATATGTAAATATAGACCAGTCAGACTATGACAAATTTTAAAATCCTGTCCACATGATTTGGTTGTCCTGTATCTGTTATATTAACTATTACTCCCAATGAGCGATTCTTCTGCTGGGATTAGGAAGCTTTTTCTTATATTGGAACATTCATTATAATTATATTTTTAAGACGAATGGTCTCTTTATAATTGAGCCTTAGGATTTTGTGTTATTATAGAATTAATATTTCTTACATGCTCTACATTTTAGAGTAGATGTTCCTATCTCTACCTTTTTTTCAGAATTATTTTTCAAAAATAAACAATTTTTTTAGAGCAGTATTAGGGTCACAGCAAAATTAGGCAGAAAGTACAGTTCCTATATGCTCCTTACCTCATCACTATCAACATTCCTCATCAGAGTAGTAGATTTGTTACAATCGATGAACCAACTTTGACACATCATTATCCCCCAAAGTCCATAGTTTACATTAGGGTTTGTTATTTGTGCTGTACCTTCTATGGTTTTGACAGATGTATAATGGCATGTATTCACCATTGTATTATCATACAGAATCATTTCACTGGCCTAAAAGTACCCTGAATTCCAGTCTTCCTCCTTCTGCATCTCTTCACTAATAACTGGCAGTCACTGATCTCTTTACTGTTTCCATAGTTTTGCCTTTTACATAATGTCATATAGTTGGAATCATATAGGATATAGCCTTTTCAGTTTGGGTTCTTTCACTTAGAAATATGCATTTAGGTTTCTTCCATGTCTTTATAGCTCTTTGATTTAGCACAGAATAATATTACATAGTTTGTATGTTCCAGTTTATCCATTGACCTACTGAAGGACATTTTGGTGGCTTCCAAGCTTTGCCAGTTATGAATAAAGTTGCTATATACGCCCATGTATAGATATTTGGGTGGATATAAATATTTTCAGTTCCTTTGCTAAATAACAAGGAATACAACTGCTGGATCATGTGGCAAGAGTATGTTTAGCCGAAACCGGTTTGGCTCAGTGGATAGAGCGTCGGCCTGCGGACTGAAAGGTCCCAGGTTCGATTCCAGTCAAGGGCATGTACCTGGGTTGCGGGCACATCCCCAGTGGGAGATGTGCAGAAGGCAGCTGGTCGATGTTTCTCTCTCATCGATGTTTCTAACTCTCTATCCCTCTCTCTTCCTCTCTGTAAAAAAATCAATAAAATATAAAAAAAAAGAGTATGTTTAGTTCTATAAGAAACTGCCAAATGATCTTTCAAAGTGGCTGTGTCATTTTGCATTCCCACCAGCAGTGAATGACCGTTCCTGTTGCTCCACATCCTCACCAGCATTTGGTGTTGTCATTGTTCTGGATTTTGGCCATTCTGACAGGTGTGTTGTGGTATCTCAATGTTTTAATTTGAAACTCTCTAATGACATATGATGAACAGCCTTTTTCATATGCGTTTTGCCATTTGTAAATCTTCTTTGCCTGTTTTTTATTTAATCCAGTTGTTAATTTCCTTATTAAGTTTTAAGGGTTCTTTGTATACTTTATATATCATTCCTTTATCAGATATGTATTTTGCAAACATTTTCTTCCACTCTGGGGATTATCATCTCATTCTCTTAATGTCATTTGCAGAGCAGCAGTTTTTAATTTTTATGAATCCAGCTTATTTATTTTTTATGGACTTTGCTTTGGTGTTATATCTAAAAATTCATAGCATACCCAAGGTCTTGTAGATTTTCTTCTATGTTACCTTCTTGGAGTTTTATTGTTTTGCATTTTAAATTTAGATGTGTTATCCATGTTGAGTTATTTTGTGTGAAAGATGTAAGGTCAGTGTCTAGATTAAATTTTTGGCATGTGGATATCTAGTTGTTCCAACAGCATTTGTTGAAAATACTGTCTTTTCCCCATTATATTGCCTTTGCTTCTTTGTCAAAGATCAGTTGGCTGTATTTATATAAGTTTATTTCTGGGTTCTCTAATCTATTTCATTGTTCAATTTTTTATTAGCTTTCCCAATACGCACTGTCTTGATTATTATAGTTTTACTAGAGGCCCCTGCGCACCAGTGGGGTCCCTCGGCCTGCGCCCTCTCGAAATCTGGGACCCTTCAGTGGATGTCTGAGAGCCGGTTTCAGCTCGATCTCCTCAGGCCAGGCCGAGGGACCACACCGGTGCACGAATCCATGCACCAGGCCTCTAGTATGCCTATAAGATCTTTGGTTAATCTGTTTCTGCCCTCCCCCCACCCCCTTCCCTCTGAGATTCATCTGTCTGTTCCATGTTTCCATGCCTGTGGTTTCCGCTCCTGCGTTGAGTGTCTGCCCCCTGGTGGTCAGTGCGCGTCATAGCTATTAGCCAGTCGGCGGTCCCTTAGCTTTTATATATATAGGCTAGAGGCCCAGTGCACAAAAATTTGTGCACTCGGGGCAGGGGTCCCCTCAGCCCGGCCTGTGCCCATTTGCAGTCCAGGACCCCTTGGGGGATGTCCACCTGTTGACTTAGGCCCACTCCCCCGGGGGATCAGGCCTAAGCTTGCAGTCAGACATCCTTCTGGCAGCCAGGGAGCCCTCGGGGGATGTCCGACTAAAGGCTTAGGCCCCCAAGGGAGCTGTGATGAGGAAGCTGGGGTGACAGAGGAGCCACGCTGTCCCCGCCCCGCCTCCCTGGGTCGGGTCGTACACGGGATGCCCGGGCGGTCCGGTGGATCTGCTGCCCTTCCGGCCGCCCCGGGTCGGGTCGCACACGGGATGCTCAGGTGGCAGCCAGGCTGGCCTATTGCTGCTGTCCCGCCCGGCCGCCCCGGGTTGGGTTGCACATGGGACGCCCACCGCCCCGGGTCGTAGATAGCAGGCCCAGATGGCAGCAGGGCAGGCGGGATTGCGCTGTCCCGCCCCACCGCCCCGGGTGGCAAATAGCAGGCCTGGATGGCGGCGGGGCAGGCGGGATGGCACTGACCCGCCCTGCCTGCAGTATGCAAATTAGTCGCCATATTTGTTGGAGGTTAATTTGCATATCGTGCTGATTAGCCAATGGGAGGCATAGTGAAGGTATGGTCAATTACCATGTTTGTCTATTATTAGATAGGATAGGTGGTAAGTCTTACAGTCAGATAGAGTCAGTCCTTTGACTTTGTCCTTTTCATTATTGTGTTAGCTATTTTGGGCCTTTGCCTTTCTATATAAACTTTAGAATCAATTTGTTGATTTCCACAAAATAACTTGTTGGGATTTTGATTGAGATTGCATTGAATCCATAGATCAAGTTGGGAAGAACTCACATCTTGACAATATGGAGACCTTCTATTGACAAATATCTATAACTATGTCTACATTTATTTTGTTCTTTGATTTTGTTTATCAGAATGTTTTAGTTTTCCTCTTGTTGATGTTTTGTTAGATTGATGCCTAACTATTTCATGTAAATGGTAATGTGTTTTAATTTCAAATTGATGGTAAATAGGACTATGTATTAAAACCTTTCTATAAGCTACACAGATTATCATGTCATTTGTGAACAAAGTCGTGTTTATTTCTTCTCAATCTGTAATTTTTCTTTTCTTCTCTTGTCTTATTGCATTATCTAGGAGTTCCAGTACAATATTGAAAAAAGTAGTGAGGGGGAACATTTTTTACTTATTCCTGACCTTAGTCGAAAAGCTTTGAGTTTCTCACCATTAAGTATGATGTTAATGATAGGTTTTTGGTAGATTCTCCTTATCCAGTTGAGGACATTTTACTCTATTCCTGGTTTCCTGAGGGCTTTTATCCTGAATGCATGTCGGATTTTGTCAAAGTGCTTTATCTGCATCTAATATGATCAGGTAACTTTCTTTCTATAGCTTGTTGACATCATAGATTACATTAATTGATTTTGAATGTTGAACCAGCTTTGTATACCTGGAATAAGTTCCACTTGGTTGTGGTGTATAATTCTTTTTATACACTGTTGGATTTGATTTGCTAATGTTTTGTTGAGATTTTTTGCATCTATGTTCATGAGAGATATTGGTCTGTAGTTTTCCTGTTTTGTCTTTATTTGGTTTTGGTATTAGAGTAATAATGGCCTCATTGAATGAGCTAGCAAGTATTTCCTCTGCTTCTGTCTTCTAAATTAGTTTGTAAAGAATTTATATAATTTCCTCCTTAAATATTTGATAGAATTTACCAGTGAACCCATATGGGCTTGATACTTTTTATTTTGGAAGGTTATTATATTGATTCAATTTTTAAAGTAACATTGGCTATTTCTTCTTGTGTGACTTTTGGCAGAAATCTTGGAAAGATTGGGACTTATAGTCAGACTAGTGGCCCTGTGCACAAAAATTTGTGCACTCGGGGTGGGGGAAGTGTCCCTCAGCCTGGCCTGCACCCTCTCCGATCTGGGACCCCTGGAAGGATGTCCTACTGCCGGTTTACAGGGATCGGGCCTAAACTGGCAGTCAGACATCCCTCTCACAATCTGGGACTGCTGGCTCCTAACCACTCACCTGCCTGCCAGCCTGCTTGCCCCCAACTCCCCCTCGCTGCCAGCCTACTCCCCCCAAATGCCCCCCTGCCAGCCTGATCACCCCCAACTGCCCCCCGTACCAGTGTGCTCACCCCCAAATACCCCCCTGCCGGCCTGCTTGCCCCTAACTGCCCCCCCTTCGCTGGCCTGCTTGCCCCCAACTGCTCCCCTGCTGGCCCGCTCACTCCAAATGGCTCCATCTTCCATTTCATTTGTGTCCTTTCCACCCCTAAGTTAATGTCATGTCCTTAATATGTGGTTATGAGATGTCTCTCTGACTGAGCTGGGAAACCTTTCACGTTTCTCTTTCCTTTCCTTTCATCTCAGGATAACTGAGCTCTGTGGTTTGTGTGGGACCAAAGGCCCTGGGAATACAATGCTGAGCCCTCTGAACTCATTTTATTCTTTATTGTATTATTTGATTTTATTCTTTATTGTATTATTTGATTCCTGGGGCTGAATTAAACATGAAAACAGAAGAAAATATACCCTTAGATTTAGAACCGGAGTCATTACCCAGAGATTTCTGTGGGAGTTGACACTTAGGCATGAGACACATGTGTTTATTGGTCAGTTTCCTCAACTGTGGAACGAAGGTTGATCCTGCCCCTCGGATCCTTTGGAGGTTGGATATGATGCATCCAGAGGGATTAACTGGCAGCTCGGAGAGTAAGATCAGAAGTCAACAGACACTTGTTTCCTTTATCCAGACAGAGTTAGAAAAACACAGCTCCTTTTATCATAAGAGCAGCAAGGGCTATGCCTGTGGGAGGAGGAGCAGGGAACCAGGGCTTCCCCCTTGCTCCTTCCCCCTTGCTCCTCCCTCCCTCCATCCCTGCACTGGTCCAGCTGCTATCACAATCGTGGAACCGCTCAACTCAGGTTCTGGCCCTGCCCATCTCACAGGGGGGAGCATGCACAGTTTCTTGCAGACACAGAAGCAGCTGTGGAGTAGGGAGGTGGCAGTTTTTCCCCTGAGTGGGCGCTGAAGCCCTTGTTGAAGTCTCCACTCTGGAGCCTGCGAGTCCGAGTCCTGGGAGGCTGCGCAGTGGAGGCGCCACATTCCTTTCAGTCAAACTGAAGATTGATAGGAGCCTGCCGGCTGTGGGGAGGGACCAGGAGGTTTGCCTTGCGCCCATTCGCCAATCCCTAGTCCCGCTTCGCTGATCGCACCACCTGAGCCCCCAGCTGGTGGCGCGGCTCAGGCGGCGTGGATGGCAGCTCGGGCTGTCCCACCCTGCCTGTAGTATGCAAATTAGCCACCATCTTTGTTGGCGGTTAATTTGCATATCGCTCTGATTGGCTGGTGGGCATAGCGAAGATATGGTCAATTTGCATCTTTGTCTTTTATTAGATAGTATGGGTCTGGCCCCACTTCATGACCTCAGGCACCCTATTTAACTTCAGTGTCAACTGTGAAGGTGGGATGGGCTACATACTTTGCAAGATTATCAAGAGGATGAAATAAAGTAATGTCTACATAAAGTCTTTATCTCATGTCTGGCATGTAGTAGATATGCAAGTAAAGGTAGCTGAGATTTAATTCCAGATCCTATATACTCTAGAGCAGCGGTCGCCAACCGGTGGTCTGTGAGGTCCAAACGGTTGGCGACCGCTGCGCTAGAGCACACAAACTGACCAGAATCTAAAAATAAGATATATGTGATGCTTAAATAAAGGACATCCAATCAACCAGTCAGATTTAAGGAAACATGTTTGTTAAATCAGTATACAAATCCCTTATGTTATTATTATAACTCCCTTATGTTATTATTATAACTTTTGAATTACTGTGCTTTACTCAAATCTGGTAAGCTGAGTGTATTAGCATTCAGATCAAAAAACCCCACTGAAAACACATATCACAGTATTAGAAAGTGGAAAATTCCGATTGTGTAATTTTTAATTTATTTGAACAGGAGCATAGGCACTTTTTTTGAAGCAGCCATATTTTATTACCTTACAGATAAATCCAAAGCAGATGACAAAGTTGCTGTCGTGGCCAAGAAAAGGGTAAGATCATGGTTTATGATGTAAAGTGTACAGACTTCAAATTCCATTTGATTAATACAACTTTTAAAAAAATTAAATGAATATTTAAAAGCAAAATAACATAATCAAATGTTTCTTTTAAATGTTAGTTGGCTATGTTTTCTTTGTAGATTGACATTAGAAATTAATTATTTCTGGTTATATCAGTGTTACAGAATTATCAGAACTTAGAATAGAAAATTTTAATTTAAATAAAAATTTTATTTTCTTTACATTATTGTTCACATGCATACTCTCATATACTAAAATATTTTATTTTTATATGCCATGTTATTATAATGTGTGCAATCTCATGGAAAATATAATAAACAATTCATATTCACAGCTTAAATGATATTTACTTTAAAGTTAAGTGAGAACAGCAGCCATTTGAATGAATTTAAACCTAGAATTTTTTTGGGGGGGGGGATTTGTAAAGTCACTAGCATTCTTAAAGAATTTTAAAAATTTAACATGTCATTCAGTGTATTGTATGCAGAGAGATGTTTAACCGTACTTACTGTCAAAACTATGATAGGGATAGGATTAACCTTGGCATTGTCTTCAAGAGACAATATTCTTAATAGGATACCTCTGAAAAAAGCAGAGTCAATGCTTAAATTCTTCTGGACAAATAATATATTGGTGTCATAGGAAAAAGAATTGTGATTGAAAGGAAAGCCTATACCTGTGATATTTTCTGTGTTGAGTGATGGGGTTGGTGCAGAGTGGATCCAGAGAAGGTTAAGTGTAACCTGGTAGAACAGAAAAGGACGTTGGGCATGAACCGAGATGAACAGGCAATGAGGTGAACATTGCTGCTGGTTGCCCTCTGCAGGGTGATCCGGCCCCGCCTGGCTCCTGCTTGCACCTGCCTTGGCCTGGCGCCACCCGCTCACCTGCTCCACCATCCTGCCATGGTCCCACTCTCGTCGGGGGCCCGTCGAGGCCGGCAGTGCCTCCACTGCTGCCCGCTGCCAGCGCAGCATTGCCAATGCCCATCATGTTCTGTGCCGCCCCCTGGTGGTCAGTGCATGTCATAGCAAGCAGTCAAACTGCCAGTCATTGGTTGAGGGGAAAATTTGCATACTAGGCTTTTATTATATAGGATTATTATTATTAAAATTCCAATGTGAGTTTCAGTGATTGCTGTTGACTTGGAATTGTGGCTCTGTGCTTAAGAGAGTCTTTGAGATTCTCTGTGTGAGGTCCCTCTTCCCATCAGCTTGGAGAGGTGAGCTG